CCGTGGGAGCAACAGTGTGCAGCAACCACAAGGAAAAGAGGGGGCTCGTGAAGGGAGAAGCAATAAAGAAGGCGGTGGACGAGCTGATGGGGAGCGACGAGGAGGCGGAGAACAGGAGGAAGAGGGCAGAGAAGCTCAAGGAGTTGGCGAACAAGGCGGTGGAAGAGGGTGGGTCCTCTCACATGGACGTCAGCTCCCTTCTGGATGATATGGTCAACCTGAAAGCTAGCCGTGGGATTTAGTGGAAGTGTTTTCGTTTGTGTTTGCACTTTGGGACATTGCTGTTTTTTGTTGTTATTAAAGTAATCTCCTTTCTATGAATTCATTTGGATGAAGTTTACATTACAAATGTAATTTTATAAAATCACATTCATAAGTGACTAATGTTTATTGTGTTCATTGATACATTACGATTTATAAATATTATAATAATAGATTTATTTCATTTCTAATTTCTTTTTTGAATATATTTCTTTTAAGTTTTAAAATCTATTAATTGACCCATTAATTTCATTGAACATAAACTATTAGTCTAAATATTTAGATTGAGGATAATACTAATATATCTATTAGATCCGTATAAATCATTTTTAATCATTGCATGTCAGATTTCTTATTTTATGAAGATAAAATAAAATATTTATTTATTTTGAATTCTTAGATTAAAAATAAAAAAATATTAAATATGTAGATAAAGATTTTTTTATCTCTATTTTGATGAGTTCTCATGCATTGATTCTTAAATGGATCCAAGCGAAATATTAAAAGTTAAATTCAAAATAAAAATAGAGTTAGTAAGAAATATATACAAATGATTATAAATTTTATTAATTTTGCATTTGAACGAGTGGCTCAAGATGATAAAAATCTTTTTGTCCATGCAAATTGAATTATGTTGCAATTATTGTTATGCGTATCGAGAATTTGTACAATACCATCTTATTTGCCATCGATTTTTAAGAGGGTATTAACTTGTGTTTATCATGCAGAATCTAGGTTGAAACCTAAATTAATATTTTCATCTTCCAACACTATACATATAGAAGATAACTTGCCTATGCATCAAATATATGAATGATTACATAATATGCACATTGGCTGACCACTTGGATCGATAACATAAATAATTTCATATAGGATTGGAAGCATCTCGTTAGTGATGCTAGCTAAGAATTGTAACCAAAGTGCTCATTCTTTAACAAACTTTCTATCATTCTACAAAATTCATCATTTGTAGTATTTTCATGATGGGAATAACAAGTTATTCAATAAATTACTTAGAATAAAAAATTTTGTATTACCACATGAACTTAAATTAAGTCAGACAAAAAGTTAGACTAATTATATATTACCCCCGAAATTAGTTATCTTTAGCATTCCGATCTCTATACTTTCAAAAGTTATATTGGGATCTTTATACTTTTAATATTTAATTTTATTGCTCCTCACATTATTGATTCGGTTAACGAAAATACCACACATGGTAAACGAAAGTGAGGTAGAGTCAATACGTGCTCAATGATAAACCCTGCGATATTTCTATCAATATAATTAACGGTGTGAAAAGAAATTGAGTTAAATATTTCACTTTTATAAATATAAAGATTTTATTGTAATTTTTTAAAATATAGAGATCGGAATACTAAAGGTAACTAATTACAAGGGATAATATATAATTATCCTCAAAAAATTTATTCAAGAGTTAAGCCTTGTATGCTTACCATAATTGTTGTATATTGCATGGGAAAAACAAAGTAAACGATAAAGCATGCTATAAATATAGTACACAATGTAAAATGAAAAAGATAAGTTGATAATATTCCAAAAAAATAAACAAGTTATGGTCTTATGTCATTTTTAGTTAATTCCAAGGCCACAAAAATGTCAATTTTACATGAATAGGTGGAAATAAAGAATTTCATGTTTCTAATTTAGAATTTAAGAATTTAAAGGTATCGAATTTTCGGGAGTTACTCCAGCAAGCAAATGAAAAATTATTCTGGGCCATGTCGATAATATTATGTTACAACAAACTTATATGAAATTGGTCATCTTGTTACGAATGTGTATATGAAGTTTGACTTATCCTAATATTGAAGTCTATTTTTATAAAAAATAATTGATATAGTTGATGAAAGAATGAGTCTCGTATGAAACTATCTTGATAGATATTAAGTGTATCTATGAATAAATCATCTTATGTGTTGTTGTAATTGTCATCCACAGGGTGAACCATTTTCCATCTTATGAAGAGAAAACACATAGTGATGTAGTTTCATAAGATCATCTATTGCTATTGTGGTTGTTGAATGCAGATTGCATATGTCGATCGTAAGATAAAATAATGTGCTTATAGTTCAGAAGGTAGAATACTCTATTACTACGATATCACATCAGCTAAAAATAATATATTACTACGATTGTTTCCGGTTCTATTACTGTGATCGTCGAGGATATATGACTATGATTCGTAAGTAAAATATATTTTTGTTATAGTGTTTGTATAAGTATTGGATGACCTTTAATATTTAAACTGAAGTGGGCACATCAAAAAAAACTTTTGATGCTTAGGTAGAAGAGGGTGCATTGGACAACTTCTAATGCTTTTGCTTGAGAACGATGCATTGAGTAATTTATAATGACTAACCTTTGGAGGGCATATCAAGCAACTTTTGATTCTCACCGAGCATCTTCTAATGCTAGTTCGAGGAGGGCATATGAGAAATTTTTAATGCCTTGTCCGAGGAGGATGCATCGGGACAACCTCTAATGCTTAACACAATGACGCATTAAATAACTTATGATACTTAGTCCGAGAAATACATATAAAAAAGCTTAGGATATATCAAATAACTTTTGATACTTAGCCTAAGGAGTGTGTATTAAGTAATTTTGGGTGCTTAGCCTATGGATGGTGGATTGATAACTTGTGATACCTTGTGTAAGGAGGGTGCATCAAGATAATTTTTTATGCTTAGCTTGTCGATGCTTAGTCGAGAATGGTGCATCTACAAGCTTATGATGCTTAGTTTAAAGAGTGCCTCAAATAATATTCAATATTTTATCTTAAGAGAGCATATTACTCATATTCCAATGCTTAGCCCTGGATTGAGGGGTAATTAAAGATTATCTCCTTATAATTAACTATGATTAGTATTTCGATTTGTATATTTTAAATTATAGCATTGGGTCCTTATACTTATAAAAACGAAATATTTAACCTCAATTCTTCCTATATCATTAACTTTATTGACAGAAAAAATCACATGTATTATCTCATACAAACAAATGTAAATGAAAAATAATAAAAATATAATTTTATTATCTTTTATATTATTAATTTTATATAAACTTCTCCCCTCCTCTTTCTAACCTACTCGTCCACGGCAAGCAATGGGCGAGTAGGTGCAATGGGTGGTGGGTGAGTAGAGGAGGGGAGGAGATGCGGTTCAAGGAATCGATGGAGTATGAAGTGGTGGATGTCAAGTTGGGGTTTTATAGCAATGACCATGACAACAACAAGCCCTTCGACGGTGTGCTAGGGATCTTAGCCTTTGCATTCTTGTTGGAGAGTGATAGTTTGCACCTGGACGTGACGGAGCGATGGGCAATGGACTTCGAGAAGGAGTTACAAGTGGCGATGGACCTACCAGTGGATGAGCGAGTATGACGGGCGAGCAAAGGAGGGGAGGAGGTGTAGTTCATGGAGTCGGCAGAGTACAAAGTGGCAGACATCAAAGTAGGGTTTTAAAGCAATGACCACAGCGATGGTGAGCCCTTTCATGGGGTGCTGGGGATCCTTGCCCACGCATTCTCATTGAAGAGCGATAGTCTGCATCTGGACATGATGGAGTGATGGGCAGTGGACTTTGGGAAGGAGGAGTTATATGTGGCAGTGGACCTATTAGTGGATAAGCGAGTGCAACAGGCGAGCAAAGGAGGAGAGGAGGTGCGGTTCATGGAATCGGTAGAGTACGAAGTATCATACGTCAAGATGGGGTTTTACAACGGCAACGATGAGCCATTCAATGGGGTGCTAGGGATCTTGGCCCATGCATTCTTGCTAGAGAGCAACAGCCTACACCTAGGAGCAATAGAGTGGTGGGCGGTGGACTTCGAGAAAGAGGAGTTACAGGTGACAGTAGACCTATCAGTGGATGAGTAGGAGTAACAGGCAAGCAAATGTGATGGGCGAGGGAGCAAGTGCGACTGATGACAAGCGAGCAGGTTGGAAAGAGAAGAGGACGAGAAAATCGATTAAAACAAAAATTTTATATAAAATTAATAATTTAAAAAATAAATATAATTATATTTTTATTCTTTTTATCAGTATATTTTTTGTATGTGATAAAAACGTGTAATTTTTTTCGTGAACAAAGTTATCGAGGTAAGAAGAATCAATATTAAATATTTTACTTTCATAAGTATAAAATTTTTAATATTATTTTTAAAAATATAATGATCGAGATAATAATTATAATTAATTATATGAGATAATATGTAATTATTCCTAATTTGAAGATTAAACTATCGTGGCATAGATACTGAGACATATCCCATTGCTGATGGACACCGCTCGGATCTCAGATTAACGTACGGCACTGCGACTCTCGAAATATATTTGCTGTTCCCCACGTCATCGATGCCGTCTCCAACTTTGTTTGACTCCCCCAACGTGCAACCGATGTGCTGACTATTGCCACGTCACCCCAATGTGTGCCCCTCCCACGCCAGACCTATCTACTATCTCCTTCTCTTTCCCCGCCGAACCACAACGTTCTTGTGGGCACCACAGCTGGGAACCAATGGGAGCCGAGTCTTACGTGTTTGGGCATTCATGAAGACAGGGAAGCCGCACGTCTGGAAACGCCCTCATCTCCGTGGATATGTATCCACACCAGTCTATAGCATCAAAATAATGAAGCAAACTATTTCAAAGAACAGTATTCTTTTGTTTCTTATATGGCGGTAGTGATGCAGCAGCTGATCCCTGACCTCTTCAGCCAGGCCAGGGGACAAGTCAACCGCTCATGCGCTGGCCTCGGGAATTGGAAACCATTTTTAATGCAATCACCGTTCCAATCTTATTTATGAACTTGCGAGTCCGCCAAGCTGATTCCAATTGAGGCTTGGAAGTCTCGTGACTTGAGGTGAAGGATGGTGGAAGGAAGGGGAAACGCTCGGCTCCCTTCCACCTTCATCGACCTCTCCGGCGAACTCGTCTGATCCGGTCCGTCGCCTGTTGCCCTCCGGGGCTGGTTCCATGAACGCTCGGTTGACATCCGACGGCTCCATCTTGGGTGGCACCGCCATTTCACTGCAGCAGGTCAGCCTCCCAACTTCTCTTCTCTCATTGCATTCTGTCTGTGTGTGGTAACGATCGAGAGTGAAGAAACGTAGATTGATCGTAGCACCACTAGTGCTTCATGCGACGGCTTCATGTAGCGTTTTCGATGCTTTGGCATCCCAAAGCGAAACTAATGTCGAGGTAAACGATAGTTATCATAATGGGGTAGATTGACATCTGGGCCGCTGCTTTCTTTCTGTGGACGCTTAGATCACCATCGAACAAGTCATTTCCTAATAGAGTGACTGTAAATGGTCAAGCATCTTTGCAGATCGTATTAAAGAAAGCCTGGCATCTGTGGCAAATGAAAAGATTGATTCGACATGGCTCCTTGTCCGATACCAAATAAATAATCGCCATATCACAGTTGTCCATCTTGTCATTTTCTCCCATCTCTAGATTTATTGTCAGCCGCAGTACACTTAGAACTTGTGCACAGTGTTTACAAAAATCCAGTGTTGTTTGGGTGGACATGAGATCACAAGACACCGTGCTGCGCACTTGAGCCTCTTTGGTCGGTTGGATTGATGAAGAAGAAAAAGGGAGACATGACATACCTGATAAGAAGGTGGGAATTGCTTGTTTGAGTTGACGCCACCGTCTGTTTCCTCCTCTCCACAAAAAGCTGTTATTTAATCCAGAACTTGAAGCCGACTGTAGATCAAATTGAAGGGATAGGATTTGTGTCCTTTTGTTTATACATATCTTGATGATTAGTACAGGACAGCATATATAGGAGCTGAGTGACTTGACCAAACATAATGGCCTCTTAAAAATGAGCAACGATCCAAACGTGTTGGGGACCTACGTGAGTTCGCATCGATGAATCTCTAATGGAGTCAGACCCACCCGCTCCGCTCCCTACCAACTAGTTTATACGATCACAATACCTAATCGTGAATGCTTGGGGCTGCAGCTTTGCCTCAATGGCGACTGCATGTGTTGTCTTGGTGTGATGTAGAAACCCCACCTTCAACTTCTGACCAATTACTACTGCACTCATCACCTCGATAACTTTCCCTCTTGCAAGCACGCTCAAGGCCATTAATCCACCCCCCTGCGCCACATCCTCCAAATGGCACCAACGCAGCTAAGTGGGTCAATGGCGATTTCAGGGTTGTCAGCGAGGCGTTCTATTAACTTGTACTACATGTTCCCTTCAAGGAAATATCATCGTCATGATCCCATGAAATAAAGATCGCGCTTCTGACGTCTATATATGTGACACCACAGAGCTCCATTTACTCGACGTTGAAGCAGCGCAGAAGCCGGGTCCCCTGATGGAGAGGTCGAAGAGCGAAGCGCCGACGAGGAGCCGCTTCGCTACGCCAGACGAGGCCGGAGACCACATCGAGTGCACCGGTGCGTCGTGCCGGTCGTGCACCGCGGTCCTCGTCGCCGACTGCATCGCGCTGGGCTGCTGCCCCTGCGCGGTGGTGAACATGCTGGCCTTGACCTTGGTTAAGGTCCCCTGGGTGGTGTCGAGGAGATGTTTGGCAATGCTGAAGAGGAAGGGGGGGTCGCTACGCAGAAGAAGGGTAAGAGACGAGGGAGGAGAAGCGGAGAAGATGACAGAGGTGGTCATTAAGGGAAGGGAAGGGAACAGCCTGGAGAAGATACGAGAGTGGGACGAGGAGGGCATCTGGGGAACGAGGGACGGAGAGAACGGCCGTGGAGGTCCAAGACTCGATGCTGATAAGGTGTGGATGGAACTGTATCAGATCGGGCACTGGGGGTTCGGGAGGTTGTCCTTCTCGGGAACTCAAGGGAGGGGCAACTAGGGAAGGCGCAGGGTGCGAGTGCCCGAAATGCCCCTGCCACCTCTGGTGAGTGATGATGGGTTTTGGAAGCTACTGCTACGGCAAGGCATGAGAGATGCACTGTGCCGCGTGGGGTTGTCTCTGCTTGTTTGCGCAAGGTTACAAGTCTGCGAGAGAGATGGAAATGTCCTGTTGGTTTCCCTTCTCTATCATCAGTTGCATTGCTGAGATTCCTTTCTCTCAGGTGCATTGATTGAGAAAAGCTGTACTGATTCTTGTGACTTGTGTGAGGTGTTACATAATCGTATTGTTGCAGCCCAAATTTGATGCAGCCAATAATGGTATTATCATGTCTAAGTCTTTAATGTTTGACAACATGGAAGCTGTTTAAACATCTCTGGTCGCAGACTTGCAGAAGTTGCCAAGATGGGATTTGTCTGTCATGTCATGTGATTTTTACCGGTCCAAAATGTTCATCTGTTTCTTGTATGCTTATTTGTATGATTGTAGGGTCCTGTTCCCAAACCAGGTAAATGGTAGACCTGATCGTGAGTTTAGGGTTTAGGGGTGTTTCACATGTCCTTATGTCCCACTGCACAATAGATGTTCTCGTCGAAATGTAATAGATTAGCCGTATCCATGGTGTGGCAGGTAATAAATATGACGATCCTGGCCTCATCACATCGAGGCCTACACGCAGCAGAAACTTGCAGGAAGGGTAGGGGCATCATAAGATGCCACAGTTGTAGCAGTCGATTCCATTTCCACTGTTCCCCGCACCGACCTCCAACAGAGAAGAATGCAAGGGATTCAATGACTGTCACAACATCAACATCAGCACACCATTAAATTCACCATCGTCGATCTTTTCGTCAAGTTGTAGTCGAGTGTTAATAAGGTAAATGTCTATTAGGAGTTGCCTGGCAGGCATTGAGATCGATCCCCTGCATCTTCTTTCTTTTTTCGCTTGGTATATAAGCTGTTAAAACGAAGAGGAGGAAGAAGAAGATCAAGCTCAAGCTAAATTTGCAGTATTTTTATCGTCCTAATTTATGTACAAAGGCTTCCCTCCCTCTGGCTCGCAAAACCAACGGCGGTCATCTCATAACACTCCATTGGCAGTCTCATATGTTGTCTTCCGGCAGGGTTACCCCTGCAAGATGGAGTATCTATCGTATCCACACCTCCTCCTCGAAGCCAACAGCCTGGAGAGCTTCCGGTTGGAGAGCTCCACCCAGGTAGGGTGGTCGGCGTGGGCGTCCCCGGATATCCTACCGGGGAGGCCAAGCTGCCGCTCTAATTCGGTCGCTTCTTGCCCGCTTCGAATGATGTGATCGTAGCAGATGTACCGACCACAAGCAGTGCTGTCCATTGCCTCGTAGACTGCTACGTGAGCCTCTGCGACCTTCTCCACGTCGATGGTGGCGAGCAACCCCTCCGTGAACAGCTGCCGAGCTCCTGCCAAAAATTACCGTGGCCTATTTAGCGAAGCTACACACGATCGAGGGATCTAATAGTGGTTGCTAACCTTTGAGGTAGGCAATGGAACTGGTAGAGTTGCGACGGCGGAAACCATGTCCGGTGACAAGGGCCGGGCAAACAGTCACCAGTTTCAAGTCCCTTCCTCGTGCCGCCCGCCATGCCGCTTTCTCTGCCATCGTCTTGCCCAGTGCCAACCATAGCTGTCAAATTGTTCCAAAGAAAGGAGTCCTTAGACAGAAACGTAGCCCTTAGGAGGTGAGTAAGCTCACATCTTACCGACAAATGTGTTACCACTCCACATAAATTGAATTTATCAGTGAGAAGGACGTTAATGAATTAGTCTAAAAGAGCCGCGATCAATGTTCATCTTTAATTAAATGAGGTGGGTGGCATTTCGTTGTATAGCCCCACCACTGCTGAATTGGCAACGATTAATTATTGGGTACTCGCCTTTCTGTCACGACATACGCTTTGATCGCTCCAGCAGTTCTCGTCGACACTGGTGGCGCGACGGCTACTACGAGTACAGGTGTTCTCTCGCCAAACACAAGCTAGAAGGGAGGAGGTGAAGACACATCTCCGGACCGATTGGGTTCTCACGCAGGCTTCAACCACCAGCTCCGCTGCTCTCACCTCCTTGTCCGCCATGTGCTTCTGTGGCGTCATAGGAACCCAAGTAAGATTGGCATTACATGCCAGAAAAGAATAGTCATCTATCCTACCTCTCTCGATCATTATCTCAGTACTTTCTGACCTGCAACATGCTTAGCATTCCGGACAAGAATTATTCGAGTCTAGTCCACGTTATAGAGAGCAAACAAAGCATTCATTTGCAGTCAGAAGACAGTGCAGGAATGGCAGAGAGAAAAATTACTAGTTGAAAGAGCAACGAAGCAAGGGACTATATTGTATTCACTCTGCCGATTTGCTAGTGATGAGATCAGAGACTCGGAGACCCAATCAAAAGTCCTAAAAAAGGGTCGATTTGCTAGTGATAAATTGAACGTTTGCACCTACTCTCGACGATTGACGTGACGATGTAAAGGAAGCTACGCTGGAGGCATTGGAACAAGGAAAAGGGACGGCTCACCGTGTAACCAGATAGACCCCCCGGATCGACCACGCTTGAGGTATGGAACACCCCGGCGCAACCGTCGAACGCTTGGCGCAAGCTCTCCAAGTTCATCACGTCGGCCATCACCGCCCACACTCCGTCCCTGCCCATCTCGCCAAACATCTCCGTCTCCCTTAGCTTGTCCAAATCCTCTGCAAGCAAAACCCACCAGTCACGACCAGCAAGCAAATCAAGCCGGCGATGATCGGAACATTAAAGAAAGCAAAAAGCGTTAGGATATCTATCTGCATGCGCATTTCTATCATGCGTTCCGCTACATACGACCTGGTCGAGTCCATCAACCCGAATTCATGATTGTTGGGAACACCAACCAGAGACTTTTACGTCGCTGTGATGCAACAAACTATTGTCCCCTTTGCTACAGTATGGACAAAGAACAATAAGATACGAATGTTAGGTCAGGTTGGATAGATACTACAGACCTCCCGGGTTCAAAATATGCGTAATTCCTAAGAAATCATTGTGTCGATGGTCAAAGAAAGCTAAATTAATGGTCCATCAGATCTGAGGGCTAATAGAAACTCGTTCCTCGAGTTCTACTAGAGGAACGAAAGTTTGGATCCATTCATAGAGTCGAACACCTACAGAGCCACATCGAGCTATTGACGGGCCCACCTAATTTTCATGTCAGGTGTCAATCACGCGTGTGCAACCCGAAGCACCCGCGGCATCTCGACGCCATAGAGAGCATCAGCATAGAGATCGACGAGGTCGACCAAAGCAAGCGGTGGGTACCCACCGAGAACGTACCGATTGATCCGGCTGATGAGAAAAAAGGGAGAGGGAGAGATTGGGGAAGAAGGCGAACCTTGGGATTGGAGGGCGAGGCGCACGGTGTAACCACGATCGAGGAGGCGGTTGACGACGGCGAAGCCGATGAAGGAGATCCCCCCGGTGACGCACACCGTCCGCGCGTCGCCACCCCCGCCGTCACCGACCACCCTCCGTCGTACGCCTCCCGGCTCCGCCTTCAGCACATCGGCCCTCCCGCTCCCCCCGCTTCGCAGGAGCGTCTCCCGCATCTCCTCGATCTCCGCCTCCAAGCTGGCCGTGCTCCTCAACACCCCCATCTCCGTCGCTCCCTCCCCTCCGTTTCTTGTGTTCTTGTGAGATCGCAAGAGGGCGAACCCTCCCGCAAAATATAAACAGGGGATTGATACATTCACACCGCGTGGAGGTACGTCATTTGATGACGACGTTGCGGTCTGACCGTAATGGTGCCATGATCGGGGCTAAATCGGGTGAGAATAGAATTAGGAACGGGTCTCGTCTCGGCTTCGACTCGACCCGTGTCAATCCATTTTCAACTCAACTGTCGACATTATGAAAACGTCCGAGTCCATAATATATTTTGGCATTTAGGACACATTAATTGGCCGAGAATGCAACTGGTGGGGCCACGCATCCATGTGCTTCATTTCCAATTCGGCACGCTTCAAAGGCTGATTAGGTGAGGCGGCCCCACAGAATGCTAATGTGGTCCTATCGGCGGTCGATCGAGAGACTACGCTCATGGTTTATCACTGCCATATTTGTTAGTGGAAGTTATAATGGGGTTCCACTCCGTTAGGAGCAACGCTCCACCTGCGTGACTGGGTCCCGCCATCGTCGTCATTGTACTCTCCACTCAGGTACGGAGGCTAAGGGCTGACTGGGACTGCCTGGATTTTGCGATTCGCACGTCACAGGCCGCGAGGCCTACTCGATGGTGACCGCGCATTACATGGAGGACCAGACGCTTCAATAGCCGGCGATTTCCCCTACTCGGTCCTAAAGGCAGACCGCCGTTTGGCCTCGTGCTGCTGCCACGCGAGGCGACCGACGACAGCTCGATGCGATCTGCGCCTTCAAACAACCGACGAGGCGGACGATTTGTAGTAACACTCAAGTGGTCAGATGGTTGATAGCGGGGGAAGTCTTTCCAAGGATCTGACGACGTCGGGCATTACTGTATATTGTGACATCAATAAGTAGTACAATTGGGAAGAGGGTGTTGCAAAGCTTGGAAAGATAATAGGTTATTAATCTGTATGTGGAAGTGTACAGAAACACTCTGCTCTGCACTCTAAATACTCCTTCAAAACGCCTCTTTCTCTGCGAGGAACATCGAGGAGTCATTCTTCGCTTTCCTTCTCAACAGTTTCGAGTCCAAGTAGGTATTTATCATAACCCTATGTATGCGTACAGGAAATGCCATCCTCTCTGCACTCGAAACCAGTACGACGACAGCGTTCCTCCAGCGTCCAGAAGACGATCCAACTTCACGGGTTGCCTCCTCCTCCTCCTCGTCTAGTGCTCGGCACTGCTGTATGTCGAGTTGCTTCCGTGTTCGTGCTCATGCTCACCGGAATGGTCGTAGTCGATGCTGAAGCCCCCACTATCGAACGCCATTCTGCGCAGCTTTTGGATGTCAGCGGAGTACTGGCCAGAGTTGTAGACGGTGCTCTGGCCGAACTTGACGCCATTGGAGAGATCAGACAGGCTTCCCTCGCTATCCAATGCTCTCAGCACCTAACGCGAGAAGGAAGACGACCACTTGCGTTAGAGTCGTGAGCGATGTAGGAGTGCAGATTACTGCAGGCTGTAGAAACGAACACCGAGCTCGGTTACCTGCACCATTCGTGGTCGCTTGGGAGCAGAGTGACGGACGCAAGCAGCAGCTGCTTCGATCACACGTAACATATCAGCTTTTAGAAAGTTGTTCTCAAGCTTTGGGTCCACTAATTCTTCGTAGTCGCCTGTTTCAAGAGCATGAATCAAGAGTGGTCGAGCCTGTAAAAGAACACACAGTAAATGCTCATAAGCTTGATGATAAAGCCGCTGTAAGGCCAACAAACTCAGCATACCCATTCCACCAAGCTCTCGTCGCCCAAAGGCCGAGATGCATCAACAGGTTTTCGCCCGGTTATGAGTTCCAGAAGCACGACTCCAAATGAATACACATCTGATCTATCTGTTAATTTTCCGCTCGATGCATACTCCGGTGCCAAGTACCTGAAAATAAGAGCATGAACTACATCAGCAAGGAAAGATTATGAATGTCCCAGCAAGGAAGAACAGAGCACGCACCCGAATGTTCCCATAACTCTGGTCGACACATGCGTATGTGCATCGTTTGCTAGTTTTGCCAGCCCAAAATCTGCTACCTGTAAATGCGATAGAGTAAAGAAAGATGGCATTAATGCATAGTCTACCGAAGAAAAAATGAACCTGAACATTTGGAGTTAACGAAGCATTTTTACCTGCGCTTCGAAGGATTCATCCAAAAGGATATTAGCCGACTTGATGTCCCTGTGAATGATCCGAGGATGACCTACGCCAAGAAGAATCAAGAATGAAGCGGATCTGTCGTGGTGATTATAGATAAAGATACAAGGAAACGAGGAGTAACTCACAATCTTCATGCAGGTACGCCAGTCCACGAGCAGAGCCTACAGCAATTCTCATTCGTTTGCCCCAGTCGAGAACGGGAAGTCCCTCTCCTAATAGTTAGAGATTGGGAGTTGAAGTCAAGTCGATCTCTGGGCTAAACAACCACGACAGGAAAGGAATATATCCAAGAATTTATGTACCATGCAAATGGTGGTCTAGAGTTTTATTGGAGACGAACTCGTAGACCAGCAGCCGATGTTGTTCTGCTATGCAGTAACCCACCAGAGAAACCAGATGGCGGTGGTGGACGCGGCTGATGATCTCCACTTCCGCCTTGAATTCCCTGTCGCCTTGTCCACTCCCAATCTTAAGCTGCTTCACCGCCACTTCTCTACCGTCTTGCAGCACACCCTTGTACACAGATCCGAACCCTCCCTCGCCAATATGATTCTCCCGAGAAAACCCATTCGTTATGTCCATCAGCTCTTCGTATGTAAACCATGACTTGGACCCTGAAGGATCGATCCCCTCAGCAGCACGAACCTGGCGACCATAACTCCCGTACGAGCTTTCCCCGGAAGGAGACGCTGCGTGATTGGCATCTGGATGTGGAGCTCTTCCGGCTGCTGCACCTGCCGGTCCATGGTAGCGGCCATCTACGATGAACCGATGGAAAGAATGAGAACGAGATCCAACGGGAAGGAAATCTGCGGTTACTCACTTGGTAGTGCAATTTCAGGAGGTGGACGCCTGGACTGTCCTGTTAAGCCATGCGTTCTTTTATTCTTCTTCCTTAAGACCACGAAGAAAATGGCAACTAAGGCGACTAATACTCCAGCAACAGTTATTCCGACCAATGTTACCGTTTCATGATTGCCTTGTGAATTCGATGAAGCATCGGAAGGAGAGGAGCTTGAATTTTTGGACGGGGAAATGTGCCGCGGAACAGTAGGTGATGGGGAATGTGAAGGAGTAGTGTTCTTATGGATAGGTGTTACGGGTGTCGGCACGGATGGCGGAGTTGGAGTGGTAATGGTTGATGATGGTGCGGGTGCAGGTACGGACGGCGGAGTTGGAGAACTTGGTGCAGTTGCAGACACAGGAGGAGGTGGTGGTGGTCGTGATTCTTGGTTTCCAGGAGATGGAGCAACCTTTGGAGGACTAGGTGATGGTGGCACGACGACGGGTGCAGGTGGCGGCACGACGACGGGTGTAGGTGGCGGCGGAGGGGGAGATCTTGAATCCGATGGTGAGCTAACAGGAGGTGACGATGCTGGAGGAGGAGAAGCAGGAGGAGGCGGAGGCGGAGAGGTAAGAACACGTGATGGTGGTGAAGGAACGGGGGAGGCAGCTTTGGGAGGAGGAGGAGAAGGAGGAGGAGGAGGTGGAGGTGGAATTGGAGGAGGAGGGGAGGCATTTGGTGGTGGGGTATTCGGTGGTGCCAACGTTGGCGGCGTATTCGGTGGAGGGGTGAGTGGTGATGACTCTGGCGGAGGAGATGCAGTTGAATCAGAAGGTTGTAGCGGAGGCGAATATGGTGGCGACGGGGATGGGTTTTCGGACGGAGGTGGACTCTGGGGAGGCGGCGCCGAAGCTGGTGGAGATGGCGGAGAGGTCGATGGCGGCGGAGAAGTCGCCTCCGAGGGAGGTGGAGACGTGCTAGCCGTCGAGTTAGAGCTCAGACTCTCAGGAGGTGGAGCCGAATCTGACATTTCCTCCTCTTCCTCTGTTCTCTCCTGTTGCTCCTCTCGTCCTCTCCAAACTCAACCGCGCGAAACCAATCGTTCATGCAATCCCTCCTTCTGCATGCACACGAGAAGACCAGATTATGACATCAGAGACCAAAAACCACGATGAACACGAGTAAGATCGAAACCTTGGCAGGCTCGGCAGCGATGGGTGCAACCATGAACGCGACGACACGATCGATCTCCCAACACTGCCTCCGTTCCGGAAGCTGAAAGAACGCCGAAGGCTGACGTCTCTACATCAAAGGAGAAGAGAAGAGACGGAATCGAGGGGGACGGCAAAGATTTGGCTCCACGATTCAAGAAAGCCGGAGAAATGGCAGCGACGGGATCCAAAACCTGGGAAGGAGAGAAGGCGTGCCAAATTTGTGGGGCCAATTGCAGGGGGAGGGGAACCATCGACGGCCGCGGAGAAGAATCCGGGGAGGGCGCTCCTCTGGAGATCAGCTCGTCCGTTCGCTGCTCGGGGAATTCACGCCAAAAATAGCGCCATCAACGCCATTCGAACCATATTTTCTGCTATTTCAGTGCTCTGCTTCATAAAAATAAACTAAACTACAAAACAACACATTTGCATGGTTTGCTTAATTTTGATCTAATCCCATAATTTCTTGTGCATGCTTTTCCACAAATCTCAAAAAATTACTTTATTATATGTAGAAAATAATAGTAAATATATCATATTTACTGATCTAATCTCAAACAGCTGATTGAGGATGTCACCCACATACTCATCTAAATTTAGCTGATTGAGCCATTACTTGCAGATATAAGAGTTGGTGACAACACGAATGACAGAATTTAATCGAATATATTCTACTAATAATTTGATTTTAACGTATTATAAGCTTGCATATAAAACACCACCGCATGTTCCTGTCGGATGCCTTTGGCTCGAGGATGAGTGGGACAGCACGACTCGGAAGGATACAGCCAACAATACAACGCAAAGATGTCGTTACGATGAGCACACTATTTCCATCATTTGGCTCTAACCCTTCCCATTTAGCCAAGGATTGCATCTCTCGACTCCCACCTCTCTCTCTCTCTCTCTCTCTCTCTCTCTCTCTCTCTCTCTCTCTCTCTCTCTCACCAGAAAACCCTACCGATGGCTCTGCATAATTATTTCTCTTCTTGTCAGGCACAGCTCCTGGGCTGTGGTTACTTGCTTGCATTTGAGCAGATCGATGGATTCGACTTCTGTGATCCTACGAGAAACAAAGCATTGACGGGTGAAGATCACGCAGCAGCAGTTGACATGTATCACCACTGTTGCAGGTTTTCATCTTGGTTCCTTGATCTCTGCATTCATTAGGTGCATGTCTTATTATTGTCTTGAGGATCGATGGCACATCAAATGCTGCTAGCTAGGCGCAGCAGTGTACACTGATCCGGAATTACCTGATGGTTTTAAGGATCTGCATAGATATGTTCACAGAGGTATATTCTTCTCTTGTCACTTGTTTGATGAACAAGATGGATTCAATCATCACATTTACATGCTAAAGTTCAAGGAACTGTTGCACATCAGCACTGGAATTTTTCTTCTTCGGTTTTCTTGTTCTTTGTGAGATCCATGTGTAAGTGTTCAGGACCTCATATATATTGGACTCCTTTCTAATAGCTTAGTCAAGTATATATATAAGAGAAGGTTGTCCTTCACTTAATACTTATATGTTGTAATTTGAGCTTACATGATCTACTTGGGTTCAGTTCATATGTCATGTCTAATCCAGTTTGCATGTGGGAGATGTTAGAGCTTAATATTTGTTGAATCACTTCTTAATATCTTAAGCACAGTAATGTAGCCAATGATTTTGGATTTAGGTAGAGTTCAAACAACTGCTATAACATTGTGAACTTGTTTCTGCTGATCATAGCTTTTAAGACAGCTTAAGAAGATTATACTGAGGCTAATACATGGCTTTGGAACCCACAACAAGACTGATGAACTACAAGGAAAGCATCTGAAACCCTTTACTTGGCATCATATTCTGCAACACGCCATAGGATGTTTCTTGAGATAAACCAGTCTTCCTTCCGGTCTTCGGAATCAATCTATCATGTTTAATTCCGTGATGTCACATGTTTTTTGCTCATTAAAAGAATTCAGATAATGTGGCTTCGTCTATTTCTCTTCAGACTTGCGGTCTTCAAATGTATCATCTCTTCTCTATGCATACACACACAAATGCCACATATATATATACACGAGATATGAAGATTTATCGACTAAAATAAGATAGGATTTTCTTATTTATGTTTGGCTATCCACAAAAAATCCAGTGATCTATCTGTAAGCAGGTTAGGGCACTCAAAGTTAGATTCTCATCACAAGGCTCTCTTCTCATCACAAATGCTGTCCACCGTTCCTTTCCAGAGTTCTGGCTATGGCTATGGCTGTGGATGTGGCTGTGGCTGTGGCTGTGGCTGTGGCTGTGGCCACACCTTTGGTTGGTGTAAACCGTAAACCTATCCCCAAACCTCATCCCAAGCAAGTGGAGGAGCGGTGAAGAATGAGCAGAAGACACAGACGCACATCCCCTCTCTCTCTCTCTCACCTGTCCTTGTCCTCATCTGCTCGGGTCCCTCGGCATAAATCCCCTGGGATCCATCGTCTCCCTGCACAATGTCGACCGCCGCGGTGCACTGCGTCGCCCCGCTCGTCGGAGCCAACAAGCCCAAGGCCGCCGCTGCCGCCAGAGTCCTCTCCAACCTCAACAACAGCAGCGGCAGCAACAAGAAGAACGCCTCTTCGGCTCCCTCTCCCTCGTTCCCTCGCCTCATCAGGAACTCTCCCGTCTTTGCGACCCCAACCACCGCCGCGCCGGCCGTGGTGAGAAGCTTACTCTTCTCTCTGTTTCTCTACTTCATCTGCTCGGTGCTTTCATGGGTGTGCCTTTGGTGATGGAAGTCTCCGGTACACCAACTCCTTGGTCCACACCCGCCAAACACACAACTCCACCTAGTCGACATGCATGGAATTACGAGAGAACGTAGGAATAAGGAAGAAGCACTCCACGTACTACCATGCAAACAATGTGGGAAAATATAATGAGTTATCCCTACTGGATTCACCGAAAGATTGAGTTTCTGGTAGAAGATCTAAGGAAGCCAACGTGTTCTGCGACACAACTTGGGTACGCAATAAATACGACAAAAAGGGTCGTCCTTTTGTGCGATCAATGGACAGATATCCAACAAGACATGATCTTAAATTTGATTGTCAAGTAATTCGTTGAATATCCAATAAAAACTCCATCAGAGCCAACAGCAAGATTATATTTTTTTATTTCTTTGGATAAATTATATCTGTTTTTTGGTTGGCCAAACGTTTGGGTCCCACACGAGCGCGTTCTTCGATCCGTGCTCATGCAAAAGATGGCCGATCGAATTCCAACCCAATTAATGTCCTTCAAATTCGCAGGAAATGGAGCCAGTGGAGCGAGTCAAGTCCGGGTTTGCGGACTTTAAGAAGGAGGTGTACGAGTGAGTCCTCTTCTTCTGAACCACACGTTAATACGTGGGCGTCTGTGTTCAGTCTCCTTACGGCCTTCTTCTTCTTCTTCTTCTACGAATGTCCATTGCAGGAAGAAGACTGATTTGTTTGCTGATCTCAAAGAGGGTCAAAGCCCCAAGGTTTGCTTCACAAAAAGAAACTCGGTTCTCTTTTGCTGCCAAGTGCGAGCTTACATTGGTAGTAACAATGGTGATGCAGTTCATGGTGTTCGCATGCGCCGACTCCCGCGTGTGCCCCTCCGTGGTGCTCAACTTCCAGCCCGGTGAAGCCTTCACTATCCGCAACATCGCCAACATGGTCCCTCCCTATGACCAGGTTATATACCTACCTACACACACGTCGGCTGTCATCTCCTCTCTGCCGCTATATGATGTCCATCGCTTTCTCCGTGTAGGTTAAGTACGCCGGAGTTGGGGCCGCCATCGAGTACGCTGTGCTCCATCTCAAGGTCAGATCTTGCTTCTTCACATGAAGAAGAGAAAGCGTTTGTCCCACGTACATGATGGCGATGTGTTGTGCAGGTGGAGAACATAATGGTGATCGGCCACAGCCGCTGCGGTGGGATCAAGGGACTCATGTCCGTCAAGGACGACGGCACCACCAGCACGTAACCCCCATTCCTCTCTCTCTCTCTCTCTCTCTCCTCTACATTACAGCATTAGCATGTTAGAGGCTTGTGTTGACCAGTGACTTCATCGAGGACTGGGTGAAGATTTGTCTTCCCGCAAGAGACAAGGTGAAGGCCCAGCACTCCAGTTTGCCATTCGAGGAGCAGTGCACCCAGTGCGAGAAGGTCATATTTGCATGTTTGAGATGTCATGTCTCTTTCTAATCTTCTTGCTAAACTAAAGCTTAATCTCCGATTACCTTCTTGCAGGAGGCTGTAAATGTTTCACTGCAAAACCTGAAGACCTACCCCTTCGTGAAAGATGCCGTGGAGAAGAAGTCCCTGAAACTGATTGGAGCACACTATGACTTCGTCAATGGCGTCTTTGAGACATGGGCGGACTAAAAGGCTCACCCTCGGCTGCTCAATGTTAAAGCCGGAGTCTGTAGCAATAACCTATGATGTAATCATGTGTTTCTGACCATGGTGTTTACACACCATGATGTACTGTTCGACCCTTCTTTTGGATCAGAACATCATTAAGAATATAATATCCATCCAAGATAAAAATCTGAGATCAATAACCTGTATTTTAGGTTCAGAATGGCAAATATAAATGGTTTCAGCAGTTAAACTTCCATGAGCAATCTGAGCAACCAAAACCTGTGAATTTAGCTGATAAGAGACTAAGAACAAGAGATTGGATGATGCCTTCAGTACAATGCGAACAGAGCCATAGTAGAAACACCACTAGTTGATATGTTACAAGGCTTTGTTGAGTGGATAAGATCATTCACATCAACCACACACATCTTTTTCAATACATTTATTACTGGCTTTGTTTCTCATGTACTGACAGAAGCTTGAGTGAGCCTGGAATAAACTCAATTTGATCTGTTGAGGGCAGAACCAAATCCATTGACATATAACCAGCTTAATCCCAAAAATAATATCATTTTGTATTAGTTTAGATAACAATAGTTTCATTACCATTGTCAGTATCATCATCATCATCATCATCATCCTTTAACAAATGCATTACATGATAAATAATCTAGTCATTATAGCTGCTTTAACAAATTATTATGTAAAGCACAAACCAATGCAGCAAAAAGTGCTGCTAAAATAAATGAGAAATAGGGACAACTTGCTGCTACTGCTGCATTTTTGTGGAATTTCACCAGGTATTATTCAACACAGACCTAAATTTTTTTAACTATGTATAGATTGGAAATGAAGAGAGGGGAAGTATCATGATATGACAGATCGGTTCTACGTGGATCTGACTGGAACCATGTTCAGTTTTGTCTATTACTTTAACTTAACAAAATATGAGAAAATAATTAATAGTGAATGATCTAAGGTGCAAGAGTATCAAGGTGAAGGCAAATTATGTCTGCAAAGTAGTGTAGCTGCTATACATTTTGTAGAATCTCAGCAAATGTATTCAGTAGGATTATCTCAAGCCATGAATACTTTGCTGATTGAAGAGAAATGCATCATGGCATGATAGGTTCTGATGATATGGAGCAGAATGAAACAAACAAAATTTAGTAGAAACCAAGTGGTAACCAATATCTAATTTAAGAAAGTCTCAGAAAATTATCAGATGTATCCATCATGAAAAACGCAAACGTATCAAGATGAAACCATGAGTAATTAGCCTTATGCAGATGCAGTGGCAGAAGAATATTTAGCCAAAGACTTCTATCTCTGAAAATTGACAACCAGAGAAATAAAAAATTACACAAATATGATTTTTTAAGGAAGTTCTAAACTTTAAATTTCATTTTCGATACAATATCTCACAAATGACTAGTTCTAATAATAATACTAATAAAATCAATAGGTCTAGGTAATTCAACCTGACCCATTAGGTCATATTTTACAAATTGGATTACGTTTCCTATGCATGATACATCAAAATCCATGTGAAAAGAATAATGCACATAGAATTGTCCTGTTGTCGATATATCAACAATAAGGTGCAGCATGTTGTTTTAAGATGATAACATGTCCTATAAATTTGAATTACTCCCTACATGTTCTTCAACACTAAATTATGTTAAGTAATACTAAATTCCGTGGACGGAACTCCAGAAACGCCAAGATGTTTCTTGGGCATATCCTCTCCTTGGCAAACAGAGAAGCAAATCACTTCAAAATCCAAACTTATAAACCTACTATTACCAGGTCTTAAGATTAAAGATGCTTCTCGTGAATAAGCAACAACAAAGGTCACAGCTATAAGTATTTCAGACAAAGCACAAGAGAATATGAGCATAAACAATGATATCAGAAGTGCAATAAGAACCCAGACAAAAACATTTGCATCTAAGAAACAGACATAAACATGGATATCAGTAATCTCTCACTCCTAATAACTCAGAAAAGCTCACCCTATAAATCTCTGTTTTTTCTGATTTCTGACTGTAGGTACTTGATTATGTTCTCTAAAGGACAAGATAAGTTTGCCTCCAGCACCAGAGAACTAACAATATCTTCAGCAGCTCTCATCTCATCATGGAACTCAGAATTGAAAACCAGGTATGAGAAATGCTCATCTAACACCAAGCCCAATGCTTTGATGATGGATTCAAATGAAGGAACACTCTCACAGGTTCTCAATCCCAGCACTGACCCAGCAGACGGACAGGGGCGTGCTTCCGGGAACCTTTGGTACTTCTCTAACCACTTCACGAAGTACCGAATCAGATCCAATACTTCCTGTCCATCTAGTCTCGAAATCACGGAAGATAGAACAAGTCCTTCTGCGTTCGATGATCCAAACACATAATGCAAGCACACTTGTGATGGTGAGAAACCATCATAAGCCATCATTAGTAAGATTGAAGCCTCTCTAGCTAGCTTCGATGCTTTCTTTGGCAGCCCCATTTGAGTAGCTTTCTCAATGGCTAAAATAGCTTGGTTTTCCCATTGCTTCTTCACCGCAACCATACCATCATAAGAATCATCAGTTGGTGATAAGAAATGCTTAAGAACAGAGAGAAGCTCCGCGGACCGGAGATCTGAGACATGCTCGACCAAGAGACAGAGCAACTGAGTTTGATTTTTCTCCACAAGCTTCTCCGTCAGATTCGTGGAGTTGAGATGCCCCACCAGCCCCTCGAGAAGCAAGGTCTCCAGCAATTCCCATACCTCGAGAACAACACAGCACTCGGCAATCAGCCCAGCAACCTCTCGACCTATCAGAAATCCCAACTTCTCGATCCCTGCACGCGCGAACTCGATGCCCGACGCGTCTCCGGCGTCGGAACCGATCGAAAGGCCGACCTTTTCGGCGCTCTTCCGCAAAAACAAGTTCAAAATCCCAAAGAAGTCACCTTTACCCAAGGACTTAGGGCGTCGGAACTTGCTCCTGAGTTTTTCGACCAAACGGGAGGATAATTCGATGATAGCAGCGTCAGTCTCCGAGATCTTCCACCCGGAGACGTGTTTGAGGGAGACGCCGCCGGGGGCCTCGGCATCAGGCTTCAACTGCGAGAAGATCTCGTCGGTGTTGAGAACGATGGGATACTTTGAGGGCGGAGGAGGGTTTCCGCCGTCGTTAGCCTCCGCCGCCGCTACCGCCCGTGTAATTTCTTCCAGCAGCGTCATGTCTACGGTTTAGGGTTTCAGCTGCTCACGAAGTAGAAGACGAGATTTATTGCCCACAAGCCCACACGTCCGGTCTAGCTTCATAGTTCGGTTTGATCCACTCACGTCCGGTCTACGTTCGTGGTTCGGTTTGATCCCCTCACGTCCGGTTCACGAGAAATTTAGATTTAATACTGTTAAGCCTAGTCTCATATATTTTTGGGATCAAATCATTTTCTTTGTAGAAATCAAATCAAACCAACCCAAATTAAATTATTTTATTTGCAAAGATCAACTAAAGATAGGGAGGATAGTTTTCAAACTGCTATTGATCGAAGAGTCAACACTATTTGGTTCAATCTCGAAAGTATAGATTTGTTTTGAGATTCCAGTGTGAATGAGATGACTCGAGTCGGTGGACTCTCGAGGCATTGCTAGCTCACAACGGTTTGTTGAATCTCGTATTTTGATGATGAAACTACTTGATATATGTTTATGATTTAATCTGCGTTTTGAGTGACGCAGGATTCTTCGATCTGGATGAGACAATTAAAGTAGGAAAATC